ATAAAACAACACCTTTGTCTGAGACATAAATAAAAGGATTTGCATTGGAATATTGAGAAGTACGACAATTAGTATTGCTCCCAAAACAGCCAAATGTGATGACTAAATTGTTTGGTCGATTTTCTTCTTTAATGTACATCCGCTCGGCTTTCGGTCGGTTTCTCATGAAGAAATATTTCATATTGACGCCAGAAGAAAATTCAAAATATCTATTAACGGCACTACTCGCACTTGTAAGGTCCGTGTCCGCAAACGTTTTCATCGCGTTTGTGCAGCACTGGGATGTAAAAGTAAATCGATCATAAGAATAGTAACCAACCGTCCATTGTGATGAACTGCTGCCAGTATTGTATCGAATTTCATTATTGACTTCTCCCCAATACCCACACGAAAGTCCTATTAACAAAAATAGAAGACCCATCAATTATTGATTAAATAAGTTTTACTGTTTATGAGTTCACTCTAACATTGTTTTATTTTACAAAAGAATGGATAGGCATTATGAAGAATTTTTAAAAAACCGAAAAGAATAAATTGAATATATTTGGAACATTTTTAAACTATTAGGAACAATCTTTCCTTACTTTTTTAATTTGTTTTAATAAGTGATGAATCTTCCAAAAATTCAAATAATTGTAAAATTAATCCAAAAAATATTTATTATAAATTTTGATATATTAATTATAAAGTATAGTTGCGTTATATATTATGACCAACAATGGGTTTATGGATATTTACAATTTGTGTGTTATGGTAGTTAAATAATAATAGAACAATTCCTTTAGTTCAGAAAAATTAACCATTTTTTTATAAAACATAGTTTAAAAAATATATAATTATCGTTATTTAATTATAAATACAATGTCAAATCATAGTAATTTAAAAATTTGAACTGAAAATAAAGAATTTATTATACATTTAATATAATTCTAGAAATTCAAACATATAAAATATATTGATTTAATATATTGTTGTATTTCAAATAATCTCAACAGAACATCATTAATACCAGAAAAAATGACCGTCAAAAAACAACAACCGAAGAAATATAGAAACAATTTATAATTCTCCAATTCAAACCATTAAAAATAATTATTTACTTAACAAAACAATAACAAATTATAATAAAAAAATATAAACTTACATTGACAACCACCCCATTATTCAAAATTTAATATACAGATCCCAGAAAAACATACCGGCACAGAAAAACCGACCGGCATATAATAATTTATAGCATTTTATAGTATATTATAGTTTTTTTGTTTTTTGTCTTTTTTTCAAAATTTTTATTGAAAAAACCATTAAATAGTTTTCAGAAACCATTGTTATAGTTTGTCGGTCGGTTTTTCCGACAAAAACGAGTGTATTGTTTTTTGTAGAAAGTCCATTTTCAGCCACTGTTTGTACGTCCCAATGTTGCTCATTATTTTCTGTATTGGGTCGACCCAGATGTGGTTCTGTACCGCTTGGGGGGTCCGTGCCATAGAAGGACTCAATAAGAAAAACAGGTGCACATACAGACCGTTCGAATGTGACTATTTTAGCCTTTTCATTAATTCTTCGTCTCACTCGGTATCCACTGGCTTGAGGTGACGATTTGGTATTTTTTGAATTCAGGAACCAAATTAAATTTTATCCAAAACACCCATTTACTATAATTTTAATATGAATACAATTCGAAATAGAAAATATAATTTTTACAGTAAGGTGCTTGACCTATAGTTTTAATGGTTTATTTACTATATTTAAATAAAAACTATTTTTAATGTTTTATTGAAAAAACACAACCTTGAGATTATAAGTTATAAACTGTTTTTCAAAAGTCTGTACTGGGGTGTCCCGATTTTTTGCATTTATTTTGTTTATTATTTTTGGGAATCGTTTTTTGTAATAAATTCGCTTATTTTTTTCAAGTAAAAATTGAGAAAAACAGTCTTCAAATTTATTTTTTTGCTTGAAGAATTATTAAGCATTAAAAAATCCCATATAAAATTTAATATAACTTAATTTTTGAAATACACGTGAATGATCCCAAAAGTGCATTTTATTATAAAAAGCTGATAAATTTAATGCCAAAAATTTTCAAAGTCGAGTCTTCATTTATAATAATAAAATAAATAACAAGCGCTAAAGTATCGCGTAATATCGATATACTGATGGTGTTGTCACAACAATGACTGAAATATCAAAACACAAAATTATTAATTGTTTGCTCTTATTTATTTTTCTTTAAAACTCGTTATTTCATTTTCTTTTGTTTAAAGAACAAAACCACATATTTGTTTTTAATTAAAATGAAAAACTAACGAAACTGATATTTAGTTACAAATTGACACAAACAACAACATCCCAATTTATTAACCTGTTTATCGTTGTAAGATTTGACCAACAACGTTGAGTTTGTGTTGTGAAGTATCGAATTGTGGTCAAATCAAATAACGGGATCGGGTTTTTTGGAAAAGGCTGTCTAATATTCCGATAATTTCCCGATATTGTACGAAAATAATTGAACGGGATTGGTATTTTTTTCAAAATTAAGTCTGTACTTTTGTTTTTTTGTTTTTTAGGAAAAATAAAAAATAAAAAACGGGACTTTAGGAAGTTTTAAAAATACTGCGGTACAGACTTTTGAACTACAGTTTAGTTTATAAACCATAAAAGTGTTTGTTAGTTGTTTCTCAATAAAGTCATCCTTAGGCGTTAGTCTTCTTGTTTGATATGGCTTTTGTTGTTGGTTGAGCTCTTGGATATTCCAAGCCAAACTTTCCTCTTTTATTTGTTATAAAAAATAACACAATAAAACAAACATAAGTCGCGCGTAATTTGCATTATCTTATCGTTAATTTATATGCGCTATGTGTAAATAAAATTGCCAAACGGTAATGGGGATACACAACAACTCAACACAAACACATCTCTGTTGTTTGTGTGAGTTTGAATATTTGAACTTGTTTATTTTAATTTTAAGTTTTCATAAAAGTTTTTTGAGAAAAAATAATGGTGGATATAAAACCCATTTTATTTTTCAACAACTTAAGTCATTTTAATAGTTTATATTGATATAATTATAATAATATGTATAGTTTGTTGGTGGTGTTTTTATGAATATTTTTATTAAAATTATTTAATTTAAGTTAAACAATTGTTTGATTTGTAAAAAAAACAAATATTAAAAATATAATAATTTTTATTATAATTGATAAAAATTATTATGATAAAAAACACATTCTGTAACTTGTTTGTATAATGTTACAGTATGATATAAAGCAGTGATACATTATAGTGCTGTTGATGTACATTCGTTTGCATATCAAAATTTTTGTTTTTATTTACAAGTAGTTTTTTCTTTTAAAAAATTATCAACTTATTTTTTTGAACCTAAAAAACGAGACAATGACCAAAAAATAAAAGTAGTTTTAAATTTATTGGGCGACAAAGTATTTTAATCAATCTTTTTTGGTTTTGTTTCATCCGAAAACTTATAATTCTAACGATGCAAACTAATCAAAAAGGTAAATTATCGTATTACAAGTTGTGCTAGTCCTGGCCTATTTTGTACTTTTTACAGTCAACTTCTTCTAAGTTGAAACGTTCAACATTTACATAAGAAAGGGGGTTGATTCGACTATCTTAATCAATTAAAGCGCCCGAGTGCATAGATTACAACTGCTAAACTAAGAGTGTGTTCAAACTTCTCAAAAAACAAATTTAACTAGTTGTGTATTGTATAACACATATGGCTGCATATTATGTGAAGTAGGATACTTCTAGTCTAATGCAAACTGTTCTCCATGTTCTGAGAATTGCACAAGTTGTATTGAAAGTGAATCGAAGTGTTTATTGTGTAAATCTGGATATTATCAAGGCGATAATTACACATGTATGCCGAGTATTGAATTATTAGAAAAATGTGAAAAAATATCAACAATAACTAGTGGGTGTTATCAATGCAAAAATGGGTATTACCGAGTTGGAATAGATTGCATTAAATGTCTTTCAAATTGTTCAACGTGTAATATTAAAGACGAGTGTTTGACTTGCAATTTAACAAATTACAAAACAACAAGTGGTAAGTGTTTACCACAAAACAGTATCATTGGGTGTGCTGTTGAAGTCACACAAACCGGATGTTCAAAATGTTTAAATGGATATTATACAATCAATAACAACGAATGTGAAAGGTGCCATGACAACTGCACAACATGTACACAACAAGAAAAGTGTACTTCTTGTGTTGATAATAAAATTTTAACGGAAAGTAAACAATGTCTTGATATAACTTATGTGTCAAAATGTCTTGAAGTTTCTAATTCAAAGTGCTCCAAATGCACATTTTGGTATTCCCCAAATAAAAATGGCGCTACATGTAACAAGAAAGCGGTCTGGTGGGTACTTTTAATTGTTGTGTTATTTGCAATTTGTATGTTGATAACTCTTCTCCTTTTGATAGTGTTTGCTGTGTTTTATATTGAAAGAAGAGTGCGATATAAAGAAATTGAAAGAACAACAACACTTTTCAAAATGAATCGCTCAAATATTTCATTTATTCCAGTAGGCGATAATGTTGTTGTTAATAAAACCGAATTAATTTTTGGTAATGACATTGATGTTGATGCACAACAAAGAGACCTTCTATGCGTTGGAAATACCTCGAAACATAACATGAAAATCCAAATTACATCAAAAAGTGCAACAATTGAAAAATATGTATTTGATTCAAATCCAAAAGTAGTTGTATTACCAAGTGGTGAGGCCTGTGATTTCGAATTATTCTTAACTTTGAATCGGACAACTAAAATTGATGAAAATATTATATTGGTCGCAAATTCGTTTACAAACCGAAAGAATGTTATTAAAGAAATTAAAATGATTGCAACAACTAAAATGACGACACATCTTGATCCAGACGAATTAAAAGAAGAAAAAAACTTGGCGAGGGGTCTTTTGGAATAGTCTTCAAAGGAAAATATCGAGGAAACATTGTTGCCATAAAAAAGATGAAAATAGGCTCAGGTGATAATTCACAAATAGACGAATTTAAGAAGGAAGTTGCGATGTTGGACAAATTTCGAAGTGATTATATCGTCCACTTCTATGGAGCTGTGTTTATACTTAACAAAATTTGTATGGTCACTGAATTTGCACCTTTTGGAAGTTTACAAGACTTGATGAAACACAAAAAGAGTGAAGATGTTGATATGAAAATACGTGTAAAGATATGTCTTGATGGTGCAAACGGAATCGAGTATTTACACACAAATGGGATACTACATAGAGACATCAAACCAGACAACATTTTGGTGTTTTCTTTAAATTTGAATGAAAAAGTGAATGCAAAATTGACTGATTTTGGAAGTGCAAAAAATGTGAATATGATGATGACTAACATGACATTCACCAATGGAATTGGTACTCCAAAATACATGGCGCCTGAAGTATTAAACAAAGAACATTACAAGAAACCCGCTGACTTGTTTTCGTTTGCTATAACAATGCTTGAGTGCTTATTGTGGGATAATGCATATCCTAAAAGTATATATTTGTACCCATGGACCGTTGCAGATGACGTTGCATCAGGTAAAAGACCAACGACTATTAAAACACTTGACAAAAATTTCCAAAATGTCATTGAAAAGTGTTGGAAACAAGAGACAGAAAAAAGGTGTACGATAAATGAAGCCATAGATGAGCTTAAACGGTTACAATAATATTATTTTTCGTTTTCTGAACTTATGGGTTTAATTAAAAAACATACAAAAGATAAACAATTTATTTTGTATTAAAGTGTTTATTTTATGTAAAAAATAAAAAAAAATAATTTAATGTGTCGATTGTGTGTTATTTAAATTAAAAATAACTTTTAAGATGTTATTCATAATTTAAAAAGTATTCAATTAATAAAAACATATGTGGTTTTGATTAACCAATTCAAACAACTTAATGCAGTTGTTTCTTTCAACCATTTTTAATTATTTATCCAACATTATTCAATGTCAAGATATTTAATCGGCCAGTTTATCAATGCCAAACAGAAAAGTTTAACCCGAAAAATAATAATAAGAAAATTTATGAATACTTTTTATTTTCTGAATTTGTCGACAACAATAGCCGAATTCAGAAATAGTTGTGATCGAATAGTAAACGTCAAACGTCGGACTTATTCGTAATTAAATTTTATATATATATTAATTTCATGTTTATTTTCAAATAAAAACGTTTTTGAAATTATTAATTATTAAAACCTAAAAGTGTGATAGCGATATAAGTACACACAAACAAAAACGCCGATATGTTGCTTAAACAAGATGTTTAAGTAGTTAAAATATTTTTTGAGTACAGTTGACCGAGTAATATATATATATATATATATAAACGTATGCACAAAGACTGTTTTGATGTGTCTTACAGAGCCTTTTTTTCGGTGCTGTCTCACTCGGTATCCACCGTATCAAAGCGAGTGTTCGTCATTATTTGAAATTGGGAACGAAACCAAATGTCTTCTTAATTTACTATAATTGTAATTTGCATATTTGAATAAAAATATTCAAGTTTTAAAGGTAGTAGCGTGAAAAGTTTTATATTTTTACTGTTTTTATAACATTTATGTTTATTGTATTAACGAACAAAACAAATAGTTGACACAATTTACACCGACAACCAACCATTGTTGTTAGTAAAGCGCATTTCGTAAATTAATTGTTAAGTTTTAGAAAAAAAGTTTTTTGGTTTGGGTTGTTTGGTTTATAATTAGTAAGTAGACAAATTACAAATTTGAAAATGGAACTGAATAAAATATCGAGAAAATGTGACTTAAATTTGGTAAATTGAGATGCTACTAGGTTCAATAAGACTAATGGGTTCTTCTAGACAAATTAGTTGTTAATTTGTACAGCCAATATTCGATTAGAGAGTTATTCTGTATAAGGATTTAGTCAATAAGAAACTAACAATATAAAAAGTTTCAAATCGATTATCTATCATAATTGAAAAAAACAAAAATATTATACAATTAAATAACAGTAATATATGGTTTAGTAATAATAATGTGTAATTAAATATATTTTTAATTTATAATTGTAATTGAATTAAAAATTACTCCTCCTCATCATTATCCTCCACCTCATCATCATCATCTTCTTCATCATTATCATCTTCTTGTTCCATTCATGCAATCTATAAATATCACCAATTTTACCAGCTTCCATGAAAATTGGGTCAACATCAGTCATGTTTTTTGCTGAACATTCAAGATACTTCACAGCACCTATTTTCTTTGCGAGTTCAACTCCCTCTTCCGTTTTTATTTTATCTTCAGAAGCATTTGTATCTAGTAAATCATTCTTCAACCCAACTAACAATATTGGTACACCCAAATCTTCAACTTCTTGTTTCCACGTCTTTCCAACTTCCTGATATGACTTTTTGTCGACGAGAGAAAAACATATAATGAAACAGTTGGTTCCCATGTAACTCATGCTGAGTAAACTTTCGCCGCCTGGCACACAAGGATCCCATAAAGAGCGTACTCCATCACCATTATCAAACTTGTGTTCCACATTGTAACCATCATATATCTTTAAGTTGGAAGGTAATGGGAACTCTTTAGTTGTGTATGTTGTTAATAGAGTTGTTTTTCCAACATCTTTGTTTCCAAGAACAACAATTTTAACAACAATATTAGCCATTAACTTTAATAATACAGATTGAACGAATTTAAATTGTGTTTTTTCTTTTATTTAAAAACTACACAATCTATTGTGAAAACAATTTTTGGTTATTTTATTATTCATTATCTGTATTTGTTTGTAGATTTCATAAATATTACACATTTAAAACTTAAAATTAATCATGTTGTTTTTTATATTTAAAACACTATTTTATAATAATTAATACAACACTCAAAAAATAAATTTCATATTATTTTTACCTCCGATATTACTAATTTATAACTTTTATGAAAACAAAATAAAATAATGAGTCAATATAAATTAAGAGTATGATATTATATCGTAAATTTAACATAGAAAGATGTGTCGTGGTTCATTGTAAAAATCAAAAAAATAAATAAATAAATAATATTATAAATTATTAAAATATCAATTTTTTATAATTTGTTTCAAGTCAAAGGTGTACCCGTCTTCAAATGGATAGATAATATCAAACGATTCAGCTTGACGTATGCAAACAATTGCATCAAAAACTTCAATTTCGACGATAAATTGACTATGAATTTTCCCATTGACTGTGAAGAACACAAGTTTCTTATTATATTGTTGTTTAACAATACCACACCCAAACACATTGACTTTACCAATTTCATTTGAATGTGTTACATCCTTAAACGTCTCTGTTTCTATTTTCTTATTTATCAGATATTGTGAATACACAAATCCATCTCCACAATAGAATTCAATTGAAAATTCTGTATCCCAATTTTTCGATGTTTCATAATTCTTTTGGTCGAGAACTCCAATATTATACCAGCCATACCCCGCTCTTACCTCAAAATATCTCACACCAAAAACTTCAAATAATTCATTTTTATAAATATATTGAACTGGTAATTGACACAATTCATCCATGAAATTTCTTGAGATGGCAATTAAATAATCATTATTGTCATGTTCTCGAATAACAAAATGGTTCCTTTGAATTAAAAGTTCTGAAAAAAGAGAGATAAAGTCATTCATCTCAAAAAAGATTTTATTATCTGGCATAGAAATGTAATCATTTTTGCCTATTATTCCTGTATATGTTTTATTCCTCACTTCTATACAATTCGAAATTTCCACATAAATGTTTAGAGTATTAATTTCTTCGTGTAATTTCACGTCTTCACAACCCCAAACGTTGACTGTATGGCTTTCGTTTAACATTGAGTTTAAAACAGTCACTTTTGATGATAAAATGAAACTACTTAATTTCACACTTTTGTTCACAAAAGTACTTTTTATTTTGATTCTGTTCGACCACTTAATGTACAGTTCTTCCAATACTACAAAAATACTATCTACTCCAAATAATATATTTTTGGATTCTTCAATTTCGAGTATTTCAAGAAAAAGGAAAACGTTAATAAAGACCACATTATTCACGTTATTTGTAATTTTCAATTTTTTGAGATACGTGGTATCCGCATTGAACTGGTAATAATATTTATTATAAAAAGTCATACTTAAAGTGTATTCTTTTACACTTTCAGGAAGACTCCATACTTCTTTTACTCCTTCGGCATAAATATGATAAACTGCGGTTGTTGCTGTTTTATTCAAAATAGTAGTTATGTTCTCTCGAGGAAGGCCATATATTGATATTCGTCCCTTCTGAGCAACGAAAACATTATTATTTTCAAAAATACCATCACATGCGATATATGCGTTGTAGAATTTTATTTCACGAAACTGTTCTATTAATTTTACAAAGTCTTTAGTATCATTATAACTTATAACTAATGCGTGAACAACAGTTTTATTTCTATCAATACAAAGTCTTATCGTGTCAAAACATTTAAACGTGTTTTCAAACACACCTTCATTCGTATTTACACGGCTTTGAACTGTAATTTTTTTCAAACGATTGTACTTGTTTTGACCGTTATAAGTGTAATATGTCAAGAATACAGCCACCACTTCTACATCACCTTCTAGTGTTTCAAGTCGCTGAAAATATGGCGCTGCTTCAAAAAGTTAATCAAACAATTTTGCGTCATAGTTAATTTTATTACCTCTATAATTTTGAATGAAAAATGTGGTGATTTTAGGAACTGTTTTACAAAGAAATGTGTCAGTTACTAAACCAATGGAAAAGTCATACATGAAGTTGGGGTACCGCCATATTTTAATATTATCAGGAATACAAGAAACTGGAAGCCTAGCGTTACCCAAATTAATTGTGTTCGGACTAAAATGTGAAATGTACCACATATAGGTGATATGTTCTACAAACACGGGAGATCTTTTAAGATATTTAAAAGCATTTTGACACTTTTTATTAACAAAAAGAAAATTCGAAATTGCCATTTTAGTATTCAAATACATTGCAACGTTCATCAGATAAACCCATTCGAGTCGTGATGACATCAAACGTTCTTTTTTAGTTATTTTAAGTTTTATAGATTTCAAACACAAATAAAAAATATATTGAAAAAGATAAACAAACCATTTTAAGTTTCAAATTAATTTTGATTTGAAATTTAAATCACAGCATTATATTAATACAAAAAATATATTAATTATAATTTAGTATAGTACTGCTCTATCAATTCTTTGATTTCTTCTATTTTCATTCTGTTATGTTCTTCTTGTGCCCAACTTGTTTTAATCACTTTGGCCATTTCATCAGGAACTTCTTTTGGAATAACAAGCCTATTACCTGCACTAATAAAGTCTGCTATATCCCACGCATATTTGAATCTACTATCTTCCTTCTTGAACACTTCATTCCATGTGATGATTTCAAACATTGAAACAGCAAATGAGTAAACATCAGCTGGTTTCTTGTAATGTTTTTTATTCAAAATTTCAGGCGCCATGTACTTTGGTGTTCCAATACCTTTCGTGAATGTCATGTTAGTCATCATCATATTAATGTTTCGACTTGTTCCAAAATCAGTCAATTTTGCATTCACTTTTTCATTTGGATCCAATGAAAATATGAGATAATTATCTGGTTTGATATCTCTGTGTAGTATCCCATTTTCATGCAAATAAAATATTCCTTTTGCACCATCAATACAATATTTGACTCGCAACTTCATAACTATTTCTTGTAGTCTTTTGCTTTTTAAAACGTCTTTTAATGAACCAAAAGGTGCAAATTCAGTGACCATACAAATTTTGTTAAGTATAAACACAGCTCCATAGAAGTGGACGATATAATCACTTCGAAATTTGTCCAACATCGCAACTTCCTTCTTAAATTCGTCTATTTGTGAATTATCACCTGAGCCTATTTTCATTTTTTTTATGGCAACAATGTTTCCTCGATATTTTCCTTTGAAGACTATTCCAAAAGACCCCTCGCCTATTTTCTTCTCTTCTTTTAATTCGTCTGAGTCAAGATGTGTTGAGTTCTCCACTTGTCCATTAATATGAATTGTTGTTGCTTGTTGTTTTCCACTGTTTAAGTTGAGTGAGATAATAACAATTTCGTCACTCAAATCCATAGTGCAAAGTGGTGTTAAAAAGACTTCAAATTCGCATGCAAATCCTTTTTTTAAAGTCACTATTTGTGGTTCTGTGCGAATTGTGTATTTGTCGCATTTGTCTTTTGTTGTGATTTGGATTTTCACATTTCCTTTTGACGAGTTGCCAACACACAACAATTCACGACTTTCATACTCAATGTGAATCTTGTCGTTGTCACCACCAAATGATATTTCTTGTTTGTTTGAAAGAATTTCGCCATCAAGTTTAGTCATCACAATATTGGAGCGACTCATATTGAAAACACATACATTTTCGGCGTCTTTGTTGTCTTTCTTTTGAAAGACCAATAGGAGTACAACGGTTACTATTGCAATTATGACAATTACAAACACAACAACACATGCAATAGGAAAGCCAATAACAACACCATAATTCGTGTTTACAAAACACTCAATTTTGTCAGCACTTAACTTGTAGCCATTTGCACACTTCCAACAAAGGGAATTTTGTGATGAAATACAATTTGGTATCTGTGAGAAGTGAATACACACGCCGTCTTTTAAAATGTTGTTTGCAGCACACTCTGAACACTCATAAGTGTCATCACATAAAGTGCAGTTTTTACCACATTTGTAACACAAATTGTCTTTCAGTGCAAAACCACCTTCACATAATGTACACCCACTCGTCGTCTTGTTCAAACAGTTGTTCAAGTCTGTCTGTGTGTTGCACAGCTTTGTGTTGTTGTTTGGCGTTCTGTAATATCCATCACTGCAAATCACACAATCACCATCATTGGAACACGTTGCACACGACGTGTCACACACAACACATTGCTTGCCATCAGAAGATCGCATGTACCCGTCTTTGCAAGCAACACACCCTTCGTATGTGGACATCATCACATCACACGTACTTAATAACTCATTTATTTCAATACATTTGCCATTCTTGGTGTATGAATATGAATCACACTTTGTGCAATATGTCAAATTCGAGCATTGTGTACACGGGTATTCACATTTTACACAAAGTGAGTTAAGTATGTAATACCCATCACAACAACGCAAACAACCCTTTGAACTTCTTAGCACACAGTTGTTTGCTATTTCACTCGATGCTTGGAAATCAAATGTTTTTGTTGTGTTTTTGTTTATATCGTTTTCAACACATGAATTGTCGACAAGAACAAAGGATTTTTTACACTCTAAACACGACGACAACACAACATTCACATGCTCACAATCTAAATATTTTTCTCTTATTGGCAAACACCCAGTCATGTCTTTGTAATAATCGTCTTCGCATTGTTTACAAACACCACCAACAAATTCTTTACAATTAATTATATCAGTTGAAATACATTTGCTATCAACTGTCATTTTGTTTTCACACACGATGCAAATCTCTTTGTTTTGATCGCACACTCTTTATCATTAGAAACACATCCACCATTTTCTATGTGATATTTTGAGTTACATGTTGTGCACACACTCCCATTATAATTAACACAATTTGTGTCTTGTGAACAAAAAGAATTTGATGTTATTACAAAGTCACTTTTACATGATATGTCGACTGTATTATTATTAACATTTTGACAGATCTTTGCATTGTCACAATTTGCAGTTAATCCATTGTTTTTTAATGTTGTGTAATATCCGTCGTCCGCCATATAACAAAACTCGTTTTGAGTGTATTTGCAGTTGTCGACTTTGATGCCTACTTGTGTGTCATTATTGTATATCAAACAATTAGTCTGGTTGTATTGACTGAGTTGGTATTTGCATGTATTTTCAATTGAACAATTTCCGTTTGTTGTGATGATGTTCTCGGTACAGTTGTCGCATGTTTTCAACGAATAATCAAAGCAAATTTCATTTTGTTTTTCAATGCATTCTTTATTGACTAAAATGTGATCTTCATCACACATAAAACACGAAGAATTTACTTGATGCAGACAGCCAACATCATTGACATCTTCTTTCGATTCTTCATAATTATAATGTGTTGTGTTTGAATATGCAAAAACACACTCAGATGTCATATCATTTATAACATACGGCGCAAAACATTTTAAACATGTTTGTATCCCGTTGTTATATTTACATAGTTGGCAATTTTGAATTAAATCAAAACAACTTACACACACATTGGAAGTGACTTTAACTTTGCCTTCTTCACATGAAATACATCCATCACCAGTTGTAACTAAGTCATTAGAACATGCCAAACAATCTTTGTTTTTAAATGAGCACTGTACACAATTTGTTATTTGTGAACACTCTTTGCACTTGTTATCTTCCAAGTAATACCCACTTACACACTCAATACAGTTTCTCTCAGTTTCATTTACATTCAAATCACATGAAGAACAATTATTATTTAATGAACATGAGACACACTCTTCATTTCCGGTGGTTTGGTTTATTATTTGCTTAAACCCAGACTGACATGATGTGCACTCCCCACTCTCTCTACAACAGTTTGTACACTCACTTGGACAGGCTAAACACGATAAAGTTCCACCAAGTGAATAATATCCATCAACACAAATTTCACAATTTCCATTATGACCAAGTCCATATCCAGCGTAACACATGAGGCATTTACCACTGATGTTATCACACGTTTCACAGTTGATATCACATGTATTGCAAAATGTTTGTCCTTGTTTTGATTGGTACGTATTAATGTCACATTGTTGGCATTTATTGTTTGTTGAATTTGCATAAGTTCCGGTTGGACAGATGTTACAATTAAACTTCTTGTCTAATCCAAACCCAGAAATGCAAGTAATGCAATTCCCATTTGTGTTATTACAAGATGAACAATTATCACTGCATTGCAAACATTGGGATGAATTTCCATGTGAATACGTATTTGTTTGGCATATTGAACACGTTGTTGATTGCATAAATGAATAAGTTCCTGCTGGACAGACATTACATTTGTTTGTTAGTTGAATTGCCAGCGTTCCAGCCTTACATGGATAACAATGGTTTTCTGATAATACACAACCAGATTTACACGAAGAACATAATCCACTTTCTATTTCACATAAATTGCAATAATTGCTGCATTTTTTACATGTAGTTGAAGACATTATATCTGAATAATAAATCTCACTACATAGCGTACAACTATCACTTCCAGAAGAACTTGAATATGATCCGATTTGGCAAGGGGTACATTGGGTGCCATCTCCATTCGTACCAGAAGGACAATTGGAGCAAATGGTGTTATTTATAAACTGCCCCTTACCACACAAAGTGCAATGCCCGTTTGTTCTGTCACATGTTACACATGAAATACAATTTAAACAAGTAGAACTGTTCGCTGAAGAATAAGTTTGATCTTGGCAATCCAAGCATTTATTTATGTTAAAATATTGACCAGCGGGACAAGTCATACAAACACCATTTGAAACATAAGAATTTGTGTAACACTTTAGACAGTTTCCATTTGTGTTATTACATGTTTTGCAAGTCGAATTACATTCGGTACAAGAACCACTTCCTATAAAAGAATATTGGTTAACACCACATTTTGTACACGAAATAGCACCACCAGCTGAGTGATAACCCGCTTCACATTTTTTACAAATTCCATCAGAAATTAAGCCACTTCCAACTGAACATAAAGTACACTTCCCATTTGTTGGATTACAAGTAGCACATGTGGTATTAATACATGGCATACATTTAGAAGCACCATCCAATGAATAAGAACCATTTAAACATGATGTACAAATTGAAGATCCCGATGAGGAATAAGTTCCAGCAATACAATTACTACATTTGGATGACCCCAAATACGAATAAGTACCAGCAGAGCATTTGGTGCAAACTTCTTTTTCGTCCCCATTAGAATACGTCCCGGCTTCGCAAGTGATACAACTAGAAGAACTGTTATTTGGTGCGTATTTTCCATCTGGGCATATTGTACAGCTTACGGCTTGATCGTTCGAGTAATAACCTTTTTGGCAAGGATACTTATTAATTCCATCTGGACAGTAATATCCAGCGTTACAAAGAAAACAACTAGAATCCGAAACATAATACCTCACTTCACAAATCATGTTTGCAGAAAATACGACATTGAAAAATACAAAGAAAATAAATGATACACGATAGTTATGAGTCATTTTTTATTCGAGTTTGTTATGATGAAAAAAAACGAAAAAAATACATAAAGTTAAATAAATATAAAACAACTTTTTATTTTTTTTAATTTGAATTAATAGGATTTTTATTAAAAATAAAAACATATTAAATTATTTGAAAAATTGTATGTTAACAAATTGTTTTTTTTCAATTTGAAAATATTAATACCATCATTTGAAAAAGTACAGCAAAACCTCAAAGAGCTACCTCTAAAGAGTGGGCATTTTTAGGACTGAAACATAAATAGAGTTCTTTATCGAGCTGTTTTTAAAGTTTGATTGGTCAAAAATGCCCTCTCTTTAAAGAACAAAATTATCACAACTTTCCGCTCTTGGGAAAAGTAAATTCAACTGAACATTACAGAAGTTGTTTCAAACTTTACTTTTTTTATTAAACATAATGTTTAATATACATTTTATTGTTTTTAATACAGTATGGACACTCTATTTTATGCAAAACTGTACCTTATGCAAGGATTTTATTATTTAATTTTAATACAACAAAACAATTTTAATAGTGAAAAAAAATCAATTCTAAAAATACCAGACACTCTGCCTTATGCAAAAAGCTATTTTGAGGTTGTTATTGGATAATTTTGAACAAGAAAACCAGAACTTTAAATTAAATAAATTAATGTTAAAAGTCTCTACACCACGACTTTAGCCAACGTAAAGAGAAATTCCCGATACCAGTTTGTATATTCTTTGTTTTGTAAAATGGTATAATACTTACTACCAGCTTGTCTCGTCGCCAAAGGAAATACAATTACACAAAAATATGTCAATGACACAAACGATGTCAACAAAATCGCGTTGAACAGCGTTTACTGGTACGTGAGTTTCTCACTTTGGCTGGTGTCCAAAACATTGAAATTAGATGGGCTGTCATTGATAAATGTTTTAAAACGACAACACTCTTCCGATGTTCATTGTTCTTCCTGTTGATTGAATAATTTAAACAATTCTTATATCAATTAAGTTGTTAAATTATATAAAATAGCATATATTTTTTCTATTAAACTGCTATGAACATGAGAGTTATCACAGCATATCAAATATAATAAACATAAATAATATTCTTTATTAAAATTTAATTTATTGTTTATTATTTGTGGGGGTTTTCACTAACAATAATAAAATTGAAATCATTCGTTTTTTCAAATCCATTTTGTGTTATTTTTACCATTTTTTGGAAGAATCCAAAATTTTTTTATATTATAAAATAACTATATATTATAACAGGTTCCTTGCATAAGGTAAAATGACCATACTGTATTTATAAATGAAATGTCATGTAATTACAAATATAAATTGTGTTGTATTATGAAAAAACATTGTTATATATTATAAATATTAAATTGATATAATGAAATATACAGTTGTACAAAAAATTTCAAAAAACAAATAATTTAATAAATCATTTTAAATATAGTGTTTTTGAATTTATTTAAAATTTATAACTAATTATTTTGATATAATTTTATTAAAATTTAAATAATTATTTTATTTATTATTATATACTTAAAATAAATTTTGGATACACGTGTTTGGTTTATTTAAATCATTTTTAAAATTAAACTTTTAATTTATCAGAATTGTTATAATTAATTTAATTAAAAATTACGTTTGGTTTATTTATCAAATCGGTGATTTTTAAATTACAATTATAATTGCATACAAAATGCCCAATTATTAAAAATCATTTTGGACACGTTGTTATTATATTTTAACAAGGCTTCTATATAACTAGATGTTTTTGAAAGATTTGTTTGATTATTTATATTTATAAACAATTGTTATTTAATTATATGATTTATTTTATTTATTATTTTATTTATTAAAATGTCATATAATTTGTTTTTTTAGTATCATTTTTTTTCCAAAAATAGTTTTAACGAAAAAACATGTTATCTATTGAAACAAGTATTTTTTGAAAAAAAAACTGTATTTATATATGACAACCATTTTTTATGAATTATTGTTTTTATTTATTATTGGCGTAACCAAAACTTTTGGTGTCATAGATTGTGGTAAAGGGCAATATAGTTATGGACCCAGTTGTGATACCTGTCCTAAAGGATATTATTGCCCAGATGGATATAACATGGTTGCATGTCTATCAGGAACTTACACACCAAATACAGGAATGGCGTATTGCGAAAGTTGTAAAGAAGGTTCATATTCAACAGGAGGATCTTCTGAATGTGTTTTATGTACAAATGAAACGTGTGCATCATGTGATAGCACAAATGGCAATTGTCTTACTTGTCGTGCAGGAAGTGGGTTTGTTGGAAATAATAAATGTGAAAAGTGTTTACCTGGATATTATTCAACTGGAGGAATATTAGCATGCTCACCATGTTCCCAAAATTCTTATTCTTTTCTTGGATTTTCAAGTTGTATAGCTTGTGATATTTCGTGTTTATCTTGCGATGAAACGAATGGTGATTGTTTATCTTGTTATGGTGGATCTGTGATTACTGAAGGAAGGTGTGTACCATGTCAAGCAGGAACTTATCGAAAAGGAAATAGTTGCTATCCATGTGGTCATAATAATGATGATTTTTCTTTATCGAATAGTACAACATGTACTACTTGTGACAATTGTACAACATGTGAGACACAAACTGGACAGTGCACCTCGTGTAAAGAAGCGTACGTTGTAAAAAATGGGATGTGTTTGCCTTGTGCAAGTGGTAATTTTTACAACAAAACAGAGAAAAATTGTCAAAAGTGTCCCAAAGGAACATATTCATCATTACCAGGAAGTGAAAATTGTTTGGAATGTCCAATTGGCTCTTACTCTGACAATGAGGGAGCATCATCATGTATTAGATGTGACGATTCATGTAGTGAAAACCAGTGTATTAAAGATAGTGGATATTGTATCTCATGTTCAGCAGGAAGTATTAAAAATATGAAAATATGTTCAGTTTGCAGTGGAGGGACTATTGCAAATATGAAAACAAACACGTGTGATAATTGTCCAGCTGGAACTTATTCAAAATCGCGTTCAACAGAGTGCACAACATGTGAAGAAAATACGTACTCATTGGAGAAATCAGCAACATGTAATTCGTGTAGTAATACATGTAAAACGTGCGATAAAACAAGTGGAAAGTGTATTACTTGTGTAGATGGGTATGGCTTGGATAGTTCAAAAAATTGTTTGATTTGTACGATTGGTACTTATTCTTTGAATTCTAAATGTACCGAATGTGGTGATGGCTTTTATCAAAACAAAGATGGACAAAATGCTTGTAAACAGTGTAACTCTTCGTGTACTTCTTGTAATAAAAACAATGGAGAATGTATCGATTGTAAAGCGGGATATGGTTTTGAATTTGGTCGATGTATAATTTGTGGTGATAAATATTATTCACCAGGTGGGAAATTTTGGTGTGCACATTGTCCAATTAAATGTGAAAATTGTATTCGAGAAAGTGGGGTATGTACATCATGTCAATTTGGATACAAGGAGATAAATAACAATGGAAATAAAATATGCGTCTCTTGTTCTTTAAACGGTAATTGTTTTTCTTGTGATTCTAATGAAAATGAATCACAAAGAGAATGTGCCGAATGTTCAAGTGGATATTACTTGGACAATAACACGTGTTTGACGTGCGCAAATATACCCTCGTGTGTAAAATGTTCAACCACAACCAATGAGTGTTATTCATGTGATAATGATTTAATTTCAAATACAACTCGGTGTATTTCTTGTGATACAGGAAAAGTAAAAACAAACGAAAAAACGTGCTCGGAATGTTATCTTGTTATTGAAAAATGTCAACTTTGTGAGTATAACAATGGAAATCCAATTTGTTCAATGTGTTATTCTCCTTATGTTGTTGAAAATGGAAAATGTGTTTTGTCATATTCAAAAACGACTCATTTTGATTATGAAACAAAATCTGAAATATCTAATGATATTGGGTGTCTCTTTCAAGTAAACTCATTGTGTTTTTCTTGTGATCAAAATTTTTATCTTCATGAAAATAAATGTTACCCGAAAGATATAAACTGCCAAAAATACTCCAAAACAACTTGTGAAATATGCGAACCAAATATCATAATAACAAATGGAAATTGCTCATTAAACGAAGAGTGCAAATATCAATTAACTCAAAACGAAAACAAAACTTGTTTGATATGTAACAATAACACGGATTGTGGACTTAATGTTGTAAATTGTAAATATACACAAAACGAGTTTTGTTATTTAGCAATTCAAAATTATTACACAACTGTTGAAAAATTTGGTCAAACCAAATCATGTGGAAATGCAGAATTTTGTCGATTAAAAGATGGCAATATGGTTGACTTTGTTTGCAAAGATAATTTTGTGTTAACTTCAAATCAAAAATGTTTAATAGATTCAAAGTGTCAAACAATAAGAGGAAGTGACTGTGTCGAGTGTATAACAGGCAATCATATAAATAACAGTGTTTGCATTGATAATGACATCGATTGTTTAATTCAAAACAAAGATGTGTGTATTTCATGTAACAATAAAATGACAGTTGAAGGGAAATGTGTTTCAATAGATTCCATTCAATGCAAAGAATTCAGCGATAATATATGTAAATCATGTGAGGAAACTCATTATAAAAACGTTGAAGGGTGTGTAACTAAAATGGGAAAATATGATAACTGTCAATTTGTAGATGTAGTTTATGAAATTTGTAATGAGTGCATCACACCATATCTTTTGGTTGAAAATTTGTGTGTAAAAGATACAACAAATGTGAATTCATTTATTAAAACAAGTACTGAATACAGTGACAATTGTATTGAAAGAAGTTCCAAAGGGTGTTTGCGATGTAGTGATGGGTATTACATAATGAATTCTATTTGTGTTCCCTGTAAATCCCCGTGCTATTATTGTTCAAATGAAACATATTGTTCAAAATGTGGTAAATATTCATATGCGACGAATGGCAAATGTATTGAAATAAATGAGTTATTAAGTACGTGTGATGTGATGATGTCCACATACGACGGGTGTGTTGCTTGCAAAAATGGGTATATGCGATCTTCTGATGGCAAGCAATGCGACAAGTGTGATGTATCATGTAAAACATGTTCCAATGATGGGGATTGTGTGGTTTGCAATGACACGTATTATAGAACTCCAAACAATATAACAAAATATTGCAATCCACAAGATGAACTTACAAATTGTTTGAATAAAACGACAAGTGGGTGCACTCAATGTGAAGATGGTTTTGCACTGAAAGACAATTTGTGTTACAAATGCAGTGAAAATTGCACTTCATGTATTACCATTACCGAGTGTTTGGATTGTGCAAATGACAACATTCTTATTGATTTTAAATGTGTTCATTTTACACAAATAAGTAATTGTATATCATCACAAAACTCCGTTTGTACAAAGTGCTCAGATGGATATGAATTAAGTAGCGACAAACTAGAATGTGACAAATCGTTTAATTATTGGTTGGTAATTGTATTACCAGTTGCATGTGTTGTATTGATACTTCTAATTCTTATATCATCGATAATAATTGTTATAAATATAGTCAACAAAAGTGAAGAAAAATCGATAACTAAAAATCTCTGTATATTCAAAATGAACCGCTCTAATATAGTGATGACTAAAATTGGTGAAGATGTTTTTTCAAACAAACAAGAAATATCATTTGGAGATCAAAATGACGAAATTGATATTGGAGTTGAAAGTCGTGAATTGTTGTGTGTTGGAAACGGTTCGAAGAGTCGTTTAAAAGTTCAAATTTCAACAAAAACAGATACTGATAAATACACAATCAGAACTGAACCACAAATTGTTACTCTTAAATATGGATTTGCATGCGAATTTGAAATTTTTTTAACACCATATTGCACTATGCAATTAATAGATGAAATTATAATAATTGCACTTGATTTGACAACAGGTAAACAAAACACAACTTCAATTAAAATTACAGCACAAACAAAGAACTCCACACGACTGGATTATGATGAAATAATAGAAGAAAAGAAACTTGGCGAAGGGTCATTTGGAATTGTGTACAAGGGGACTTATAGAGGCAATGTCGTTGCTATTAAGAAGATAAAACAAATAACAGATGAAACAAGTGGACTTAAAGAATTTGAAAATGAAATTAATATGTTGGACAAATTTCGAAATGAATATATTGTCCACTTTTACGGCGCTGTTTTAATACCAAATAAAATTTGTATGGTCACAGAATTTGGACTCTATGGAAGTTTACAAGACTTGATTCTAAATGTAAATAATGAACAAATTAAAATGATTGTGCGACTTAAGATGGTGTTAGATGCTTCTAAGGGGATTTTATATCTTCATGAAAATGGAATATTACACAGAGATATCAAACCAGACAACATCTTAGTGTTTTCTCTTGACTTGAATGAAAGAGTGAATGCAAAGTTAACCGATTTCGGAAGTGCAAGAAACATTAACTTACTGATGACTAACATGACATTCACG